AAGGCAGACTTCAAGAATGGAGAAGTGAACTCCTCCATGATCATTTACTTCTTTTTTTTAATAAAAGAAAAAAAGAAAGAAAAAAAAAAAAAGATTCAGCATATGGTAATTTCGGCACAAATTTTGAGATACCTACACCAGGTGTATGGGAAAAGATAGAAATACTTTGCTATTTTAATACTAAATAAAATAAACTTGTCTGAAGTAGTGCTTAATCCTCTGACAGAACTTTGTTATATAAATGGTTAGCTATAATATGTAGTTGAAGAAAAAGAACCCACACCATCTGGCTTCAAGCAAGAATATACTTTAGATAGTGTAGTGCCCTCCTGAGAGAAAACTCAGGCTTATTTATGGGGCAGGGGGAAGAAATCAGGAGAAAGGAACACATTTGGTTTAAGAGTCCAGATATGTCAGTATCTAGCAAAGTTCAGAAGTGTGTCAATTCCTGAACCAAGATGTTTTTACTAAGTCAAAAAGCACATTGACTTAGCTTTCCCATTTTCCAAAATACACAGGAGAGGATAGATTGGTTATTTTTTTGTTTTAAATAGTAGCAGTGAATTGGAAGAAAATGAGCTTGTTCACCTCCAAATTACCAACAGCACTTGTAGCAGACTGCACTCTGAAGGAGCATCTGAACAGTCACAACAGCTGTCTGTTAATAGATCCAATTAAGAAAAGAAAAAGTGTGACAGCATTTGAGCATAAAAACATCATACAGTTAAAAAAAGAAGCATTCATGTCTCCCTCATCCTGTTAAAAAAGTCAATAAAATTAGGAGGCTTTGCTTTTATCCTATAACAGAGAAGACACAAATCAATAAATTCATACCTGAAAAGGCAAAACTTCCACAGTTGTGTTTAGAAGTATGTCTCCTGGATGCTCTGGATTGCCACTGTGAAACAAGTACCTATAAATGAAAAGGGAAAAATAAAACTGTCTACATATGTCAGTCAGAATTAGCAGCTAAGTGACCATCTTATATGTTAATAGTCACATTATGGATGTTATGATGATAAACGTAACATTTATACTGGACCTACATCAGCTGGCGATAAGAAATGAAAGATGGTTTCCCATACTACTGTAGTGGAAAGGGCAAAAATATTTCTTTTTTTGAAGAGTAGTTGGGCAGTATTTTGCTTAGAAAGGAACATCCCATAATCTGATCTTGACAGATTGGATTGTACAAAGTGACCAGCACTGTAGTCATTATTGCCTGGCATGCAGTGGTATCGCCTCCAGAAGCAGGAGCCCTGCCTTCCCTCAGCCTCTCCCCATCGCTCCCCACCACGCACCACCCCCTCCTTGTGCCCACAGAATCAACTCTGCGGATCCATTCTGAACCAGTTCTGGGAATTTATCCAAGTCAACATTTTGCCAGGCCAGTTTTCCCCAAGACCAGCTCTCCACTCTGTTTCATTGCAAAGTCTCATTAATGACTGTGCCAGGAATTCCCGACCCATATCCACACCCTTAATGTTACCTGAATTCAAACTTCTATTCCAAAGACAGATTTTTCTTCTTTAAACAAAAGCATATTTTTGATGTGTATAGACACACGGAAAAGGATTTTTTGTTTTTCCACCTGACAAAGTGCCCATTACCCTTATTCCGTTGTGCATTTAATGAAATGTCTCCTTTTTTTAAAAATGGGACAGAGTAAATATCTTCAAAACTGTATCAAAACCACCCCTATACATACCAAGCAGTGAAGTGCAAGTGTTCGAATTCTAGCTGCCCACTCTCAAACAGCTTTTGCAATACTACGCATGTGTAAATAATGTTACAAAAGACACAGTTTAATTCCCCTTTCTCTATATATAACACAAACTTCATACTCTTTTGAATACATATTATGTAAACAAGTAACAATATTTTCTACCACTAGGTGGTATCAACGCTTGAAAAATTGTTCATCTCTTACCATTTTTTTTCTAGTGGACCACCGAATTTATTCAGATTACTGTCAAAAACTACCTAGATTTACACCTACTCAGATGACACTTTTAACAAGCCTATTTTGCTTTTAATAGTTTAAATGAATATGTAAAAATCTATCAACCCATTTCAAACCTTTCTTCAATTGGAACTTAGAGAAATTAACAGTAAGCACCATCTTCGGCATTAAATACATCACCAACCAGGGACAAAATTAGTTCAGAAATTATCACTTGATTAGAATTACAAACGTTAGCTCAATTTGCAATTTATTAAGACATAATTGGAGATGCAAATTCCAGTTTGTCTTTACCCAATATGTCTGAAGCCAGGTAATTACTTGCCATTAATCCATACTCCACAGCTACAAGACAAGAAGTAGAAGAAAACAGAGCGCTCTCACCCTGACTTAGAAATGTCTGTGATCCCAAAATTATAGAAGCATTTTTAAAAAATACAAACACACACACACACATATATCTTTTATCAAGGCTTAGAAAAGGAGTAAAACCACACACTGATGTAAGAAAGCTACACTGATTTCTATTGCACTGGTTTCAGCAGACCTGCACAGATTGAACTGCAAAACAAAACCGGATTCAGTAAGCTTCAGCACTGTATGTGCTTCAAGAAAAAGAATTTCCCTACTGTAGTTCAATGTAAAGGTTAGTCAGTTCTAAAGTACACACGCTACCTAAAACATCCACAGCTCTTCCAAGAAAAATCTTGTGTCTTTTTCTAAACATTAGTGACATCCAAAAAATCCCAAAGACTTAATTATCCTTTCTAGGAAGATGCCTTTATTATATGTTTCAATAATAAGCAAAACAAAACTCTTGGCAAAGCTGACCAGAAGAGGACTAAAAGTATCTTCTTCTGTCTTCTGACCTAGCAGATCTAACTTGCCTTCCTTTAGTCTGTCAGATATCCTAATCGTTACTGGGAATTTTTCTCTTGAAAACACTGAAAATCCTAAGGAGACTTATTTTAAAATGTAAGCGATCGGACACTCACACTGAAGGTGCTGCCATCAAACACTCCAACCAAACCACAAGCACAGTGGTTTTCCTTAGTGTTTCTAGTACACAAACCTTATTTCTGAGAAGACACACCTAAAAAGCCACAAAGAAACTCCTTCTGAGCTGTGATCACTGTGCGCTCAAATGAACAATACTGGGTTTAGGATGTTTGGGTGGGGGTTTTTTCGGGGGGGGCAGACAGGGGGGAAGTCGTGGTGGTGGGCTGGCTTTTTGTTTGTCTGGGGGCTTGGTTTGGGGGTGTGGGGTGTGTATGTATTTATTTGGTTTTTGTTTATCTGTTTTTAAAAACAGCCCTGTGTCCATACAACCACAGCCAATGATTTCTCTCACTTAGACAAAGTTATAGAGATTAAAAATAGAACTATGAACATACATACACAGTTCACATCTATGATAAATCTTTTGCTTAGAAATAAAACTTACAAAATAAAAAAATTGATTTGAAATAAAATTTAATTTACAAATAAACAGACCTTCTACAGGTCCTAAAAGAAGTGTCATTAGCTGTTCTTTTGTAAAACTTGCCTCCCTGACATACTGATAAATCACAAGTTTTCAAGGTTTTCAGACTATGAAAGATTTTTTTGGGGGTACAGAGACTGAAAGACACGGAAGTAGCTGTGCTTTTGGCTAAGTTATTCTGACATCTGTCCTGGGATTTACAGGTGACAGTCCATGTGAACACTAAAAACATACTTCTTCCCCCCCCAGTTAACTGACATTTTTCTTAGGATGGAATCACTAAGATACTCTTGTCTACCTGCTGCTTAAACATAACACTTTATGAACCATTCTTTCAAAATAAAATTCTGGAAGTCATAGACTTCTAAATATAGTAATCCCAAACAAATACAAATTCACCTAAAGTTAAAAAAAATACTACTATTACCTTACGGAATATTACTTCACAGCTTTATTACAAAATACAAACATTGGACATATTTGGACATTCTTGATGGAAGTCATCAGAGAAAAGTAACTCTAACTTACAACTGGTAAATGAAATACTAATGTCACTGAACCTTAGAGAACCTTTTTCTCTGACAGTATCTTTTTAAAGACACACAGGTCAAAGATAAGAACTAGCTACTGTAGGTATTCCAAACCAGAGACAACCTCCCCCATGCCAGAAGCTACTACATGTATGAACCAACTTGCATAAATTCTCGTCATCATCTCAATGCAGTATGAGATGAATAGAGGATGCTAGACAGTAACATCTCATGTAGCCAAAAAAAAAAGTACATAATAAAATTTAAAGAGCCCTGAAGGTTTAAAAAACAACCAACCAACCAACCAACAAAATGGAACAAAGTCAAAGTTGCAAAGAAAACTTCAGTTGTCATGCTCAGTGACTTGAGTATTTACTCAGATTGAGGGTTTGACTTCTTCCTATCGAGGTAGGTATCACCTATAAAATCAAGTCAACTAGAGGGATAAACACCCACAAAAACCAACAAGCTGAAACAAATATTCATACATATCCTAACACACAAAGGGAGAGGCGGGCAGAAGCATTACTACGCTGATGAAAGATATCATTAGCTTGCCAAAGCAGTTAACTGTTACAGTACTGCAGAAGCCTACCCTCAGGTTCACAACTACCCCAGCAGTGAGCACCTGAAAAGATTCTCTTCTTTTGTAGCATCCCCCAGAAGATGCGTATAAATTAATATCAGTATTACTAATCCGCGCTGTTAGCTTTAATATTCTTCTTTGAATAGCTAAACTTTTCCATCTTGGAGCACTAATCCATCACCTGTACTTTCAAAAAAAAAAAAAAAATCCCAACTACACACACTTCTTTACCCTCCCCCTATTTTGCTTATGAAGGGAACGTATTATCTCTTCTTTCCCTCACATCAAAGCATATTTAGGCCCAGGAAGCTGTTATCCTCTCTATTACCTAATTTGTTTTCTTTAGGCATTAAAAAAAAAAATCTTACTGTCTTTTATATTTTATTTAAATAAATAGAAGTGCTAATGATTTTTTTTCATATATATAGAGAAAGTGTGATTCTATGCATTCTCTGTTTTGTTGAGCAATTAAAAATTAGAACAGAACACACAATAACTTTATCACTAAATTATGGCAGCTTTATAAAAGGAAATAATATACAAAAATTCTTTAAAAAGCACAATTCACATCCACTGTCAATATATTTGGGGTTTGTTTTGAAGGAAAGAAAAGACTTATCTCATTTGATGCTAAACAAATATTCTAAGAATCTATTTATGAACACAGTCCTTTGTGCTCTGTAAATATTGGGAATCAAATCCTTTTCTCTATGTATTCTCTTTACGTCTCTTTTTAGCAATCTGATATATTTTAGTATATCCCATTTTCAGAAAAGGAAAAGAGGTAGGGAGGCAGAGAGGAAACCTTTCCTTCCACATTTTAGCAAATCTTCCAGAGCAACATGCAGCATATCAGTTTTTAATTCTGCACAACATGAATTTCTATAAAAACAACATTCAGTCAGCAAATTTTTGGCTCTCTACAGATGCCATCATCCACTACAAGAGTCATTATTCACCAATTCTATCCAGTATTTTTGATCACTGGATGCAAATGTGGTAAAAGAAATCTAATCTACCTCCTCTGTGTCATTTTCCCAGAATCCTCATTAGGAAATGTTATTTTACTGTCACTGGAAACCAGTATTAACCATGCATCATTTCCTCGTGCAAAATACAAACAGAAGAGGAATAATTTCTTTTTCTTCTCTCAAGCTCAATTTCTTCTCCTATCCTTTATGCCTCTTACCCACTCTTTTTGCAAAAATTGCTCGTATTTCAAAAAAACCTTTAATTCCTCAACTCTCTCTATATACCCACCAAGTACTCACAATAGGTAAGCAATCTAATGGGAGGTTTCTATCTTGTTGTTACAGTTTCCAATTTGGGGGGGGGGGGGGAACAACCCCAA